GAATTCCTGTAGTTTGAATTACTTAGTATTAGAAAAAATTCAATTTCAAAATGACTTTCAAGAAAATGAGTCATGACAGTTACAGAGAACATCCTGTACAAAACTGACTGTATTGTGTCAGAATTCTCGGTCTGAGTTTTTGTGCTGTGTGAAAAAGATTTATAAATTGTGGATTTATTTATGTTAGCAATAAAACTCACAGTTTCTCTGGATTTTAAATTTATAGTTATATAATATATATTTTTATTTATTTTTTTTTTTAATTATAAAAAACTCAAAATAAAAAAATTGATTATGTAATTGCCCTCAAACATTTTTTATCACAGTACTAATGTTTTATTTTCTAAGAGTTTAGAATGAATATTTGATGGAATAAGCTTGCGGTAACTCTTATTTCGAGCTCAATAGTTACGATCGCCTAACAGCAAGAAGTTTGTTGGTTCGAGTCCCGACTAGGTCAGTTGGCATTTCTGTGAGGAGTCTGCCTGTTTTCCCCGTGTTGGCATGGGTTTCCTCCGAGTGCTCCGGTTTCCCCCACAGTCCAAAGACATGCACAATAGGTGAATTGGATGGCCTAAATTGGCTGAAGTGTGAGTGAGTGTGTGAATGTGAGAGTGTATGGGTGTTTTGCAATACTGGGTTGCAACTGCAACGGCATTCACGATGTAAAACATGCTGGAATAGTTGGCAGTTAATTCCGCTGTGGAGATACCTGATAAATAAGGGACTACACCAAAGGAAAATTAATGAATGAATAAGTAACAATAAATAAAAATCTTATCGATTTTCATTTTTCAAAAGAAAATGAAGCTTCAAATGTCAAAATTGGTATTTATTATTTATAATAAATGTCAACAGACCTTTAAAACAAATATTAATATTTTATTCAAACTCATACTGAATAAAGTGATCTCTAAATATTTCTAAAGCTGTATGATAAGTTGATTTCATGCACTTCATTTATTTACGTATGTGCATGAATATTGAGAATAACCTGTTGACAATTGTAGGAGAGTCCTAAACTAGTTTCAACAAAGAAAATTTCCAAAACTTGCAGCTACAGTATTTCTTAGCAACCATCATGAATTCTATATGCTATATTACAATAATAATATACGCTAAAACATATCTGTAAACTTGCAGTTTTCCATATTTTGTGATCCATGTTTTTATTTATTTATTTTTATTTATGCATTTGAATAGCTTTATGACACCTTGATCTTTCCTCCGACAACTTTTAACCTTGAAAAGTTCGAAAAAGTGTCTTTTATGAACATTTTTTAATGTGTATTGTCTGATTTGGTGTTGTATATTACGCTACAAAAACCTTGTAATAAGCTGCCAGAACATTTTCTGTTATATTATTTCTTTTATTACATTTCAAACTACAAAAATGTCAATAAAAGTCACTTTGTTAATCTGTAGAGTTGATTTTTCAACATCAAAAGTCGACAGAGCAGAGATTAACATCCCATAATGCATTTTACAACTGTAAATAAACAGAAAAAACTTTATTATAGGAGCTGTAAATTAACATATGTTATGTACAGTGTATATCAACCAATACAAAGTACATTTTAGATAACGCACGGTGAGTTTTTAGTCCATATAATGCAATGCAAATATAAATACTACATATATTCCTTCACTCTACAACTTACTTTAGAGCAGAGGTTTTTCATTTGCTATTGTTTTATTATTTATTACTTGTAGTGAGAGTGGTTTCTGTCTTTAGCTGAAAGTAAGTTTCCTCACACTCACCGCAGCTTTAAAGTAGCATTGGTGTGGAAACTGAATAACGCAAGACATGACTGAAAGAGTTCTTCTTTTTCTGCTTTCTTCTTATAAATGAATTCCTGTAGTTTGAATTACTTAGTATTAGAAAAAATTCTATTTCAAAATGACTTTCAAGAAAATGAGTCATGACAGTTACAGAGAACATCCTGTACAAAACTGACTGTATTGTGTCAGAATTCTCGGTCTGAGTTTTTCTGCTGTGTGAAAAAGATTTAAAAATTGTGGATTTATTTATGTTAGCAATAAAACTCACAGTTTCTCTGGATTTTAAATTTATAGTTATATAATATATATATATTTTTTTTATTATAAAAAAACTCAAAATAAAAAAATTGATTATGCAATTGCCCTCAAACATTTTTTATCACAGTACTAATGTTTTATTTTTTAAGGGTTTAGAATGAATATTTGATGGAATAAGCTTGCGGTAACTCTTATTTCGAGCTCAATAGTTACGATCGCCTAACAGCAAGAAGTTTGTTGGTTCGAGTCCCGGCTAGGTCAGTTGGCATTTCTGTGAGGAGTCTGCCTGTTTTCCCCGTGTTGGCATGGGTTTCCTCCGAGTGCTCCGGTTTCCCCCACAGTCCAAAGACATGCACAATAGGTGCATTGGATGGCCTAAATTGGCTGTAGTGTGAGTGAGTGTGTGAATCTGAGAGTGTATGGGTGTTTTGCAATACTGGGTTGCAACTTGAACGGCATTCACAAGGTAAAACATGCTGGAATAGTTGGCGGTTAATTCCGCTTTGGCGACACCTGTTAAATAAGGGACGATAATGAATGAATAAGTCACAATAAATGAAAGTCTTATCGATTTTCATTTTTCAAAAGAAAATAAAGCTTCAAATGTCAATATTGGTATTTAATATTTATAATAAATGTCAACAGACCTTTAAAACAAATATTAATATTTTATTCATACTGAATAAAGTGGTCTCTAAATATTTCCAAAGCTGTATGATAAGTTGATTTCATGCAATTCATTTATTTAATGTGCATGAAAATTGAGAATAACCTGTTGAGAATTTTAGGAGAGTCCTAAACTAGTTTCAACAAAGAAAATTTCCAAGATTTGCAGCTACGGTACTTATTAGCAACCGTCGTGAGTCAGAAATACAGTTACACAACTGGACATGACTTCACTTTCACTACTGTCCCATTATGCATTTCCTCATTCATTATTTTCCATTATACATTTTAAAATCTTTACTGCATATAAAAATGCCTTTTAAAACTAATATACCATGAATGATACTCCCAAGAAAATTGTCAGGAACACTGAGTTTAACAGTTAACATATCTTTTCTTTTTTATATACTTTTCCAGTGCCCACTATATTTCCTCTGATGATAGATTTCTCTAATTTGCAAAATGTAAATTGGAACTATTCTAACCAAGTAATTAAAGATCATGTTGCAAAAAGGAGTATGTCTTAATAAATATATTGAAAGAAAAATGAAATTATAATAAGCAGGAACTATCAAAGAGGCCATATAAAATATTAAATGTAAATTATTTATGGTTGTGATTATCCGTACAACATTTATTCTTTTTTTTTTCAGATCTTATACGGTGTTTGGGGAGCATACTCTCACATTAATGAATATAATAAAACATATAGTAATACATGTGTAAAACATGTGTAAAATGTAGCAATATGGTCCATATTCAGCTAGAAATGACCATTTCTGCCTTTCGTTATTTCTTTTTTCCCTGGTTCAATTTAAACCATTTTAAACACATTTTAACCTGATTTAATCATTTTGTATTCTTTGTTCGGGGTTTTTAATCATTTTTTAACTCTGGTTGCTGTGATCAAGACTTTTTGGAAGGAACATTTTGATCATTTGTGGAAGTTTTGATTATTTCTTATACTTGATGTATTTGATGTTTCTTTTATTCTTGTATATGTAAAGCACTTTGAATTACTGTTGTGTAGAAAATGTGCTATAAATAATAAATCCTTGCCTTACAGGTATTTCTTTGGAAATAGAAAGTAAAAGGTCAAAAAGATATCTGTTTTCTTTTGTGCCAAAATTCATTAGAAAATCAAGTAAATATCCTGTTTTTGTATGAAGATATTATGTACATTTCCCTACTGTAAACAGATCAAAACTCAATTTCTGATTAGTAATGTGCACTGCTAAAAACATGATTTGAACAACTTTAAAGGTTGATTTTCTTGAGCCCTCAGATTCCAGATTTTCATGTGCTTGTATCTTGGCTAAATATTTTCATTTCCCAACAAACCAAAACACTTGAAAGCTTTTATATTCAGCTTTCAAATAATGTCGCCTATAAATCTCAACTTACAGCTGCAGGGTTACAAATATCTTAATCTTCTAAGGGTTATACATCATTCATTCATTAATTTTCATTTCAGCTTAGTCCCTTTATTAAGCTGGGGCACCATAGCGGAATGAAGCACCAGGAATAAACAACTCGACAGAATTAGTTTTCACTTTTTTAACACATCATTTTTAGTTTATTATATTACAGTAACAAATTTTTACAGCTGTTGACAGAAGTACAACATTTCCAAGTTCACAAGATTTACACCTAACCACTACGCCACATCACCCACAAGCGTTCATTCATTGATTTAAACTTTATTACAGACTCAAAGTCTAATTGAAATAAATAAAACAAAACAAAACCATATTCCATAACATATAAGTAGGGCCAAGGAGAATCTGCGGACATTTTTTGCTATTTCTGCTGAGAATTTTGGAAAAAATCTGCAAATTTATGCAGAATGATTTTGGGATATCATAACTAAAAACTTAATATATTAAATAAAAAAATACTTTTTAAAAGCTATTATTTAATGTTTATAATGCAAATTAATTTAGATGCACTTATTTGGTAAACAAAGCAAAAATGACAGAACATTTTATAAACTGTTTTGGTAATAATATACATTTTCATATTAAACAACAATAACATTACTGAAATCATTTAAAAACTGAATAAATATAAATTTACACACACTATTGCACAAATAGTCTCAATGATGGGCTCAAAATCTGCGGAAATCTAGTCTATGATGGGCTTACATATAAGAAACCGAACAGATACCAGCAGATAGCGCTGTTTATCAAGTCACAGCTTGCTGCGATGTTTAAATAATTGTGCGAGAAGGTTTTCCTCTTCCTCCGATGTCACCCCTAGGCGGAGGCGTCAGTAGACGGGCAGCAGCGGCACCCCTCCCGGCCTCGAGCTCCGTCACCGTGCGCTGCGCTACAGGGAAACGATCGCCATAGTGAACCGCACGCGAAGCACCTACGGACCCGTTAAACTGAGGATATCAGCGCAAGTTTGGCCGATTTAAGTGGGGTGAGGCTGTGTGTTTTTCGTCGGAAAGGCGACTTGTGTTTGTGTGTGTTGGCGGAGAGTGGAAAAGACGGCATCCGGCCTCCGAGAAGCAGGCGAGGGCAGGGACTCGCGACCGAACAACGTTTACCGTCTCTGGTGAGTTTTTCCATCCGGCGACCGTCTGCACTTTCGCGGAAGGTGGACGCGAAGCTAATGTTATGTTTGTCTGTTGCGCGTCTATCAAACAAATCCGCGATGTTTTGAGTAATCTGGTTAAATGTTGTTGAGTCGACGGTTGTTTTGTCAACAAGAGCTGAATGTTGTTTTCAAATACTGTGTGTGTTTGGTTTGGTTATAAAAGAAAAGCCAAACCGTTTTGAAGTGTTTGTTTAAGCTTTGACTAGCAACGAGTTCCACCACCTGGTTGAATAACCCATCCTGACAGGCTTTGTAGGTTTGTTTTTGTAGTTTTGTTGGTCACACTTTGCACTAATGTTTTATTAGTTGACGTATTTACTAACTTGAGCTAATAGAGAACCAGTATAGCATTTATTAATCATAGATCAACATTAAAATAATGCATTATTAAAAATAAAACTCATGAATGTTTAGTTAACTCACTTTCAGCTTGAGCCACTGTGTTTTCATTAACGTTAGTTAAGATGTAATAAACATATTGTCAATTTTAGTTAATACATTAACTAATACAATATTATTGTAAAATGTTTCTGTTTTAGTTTGCCTTTATCCTTAAAGTTGAATCATAAGACTAAAATCAGTCATCCTGTTACAATGTGTGCTTTCTGTTGAAGCAGTTATGCAGATCAATTCACTGCAAGCAAACACTGACAGACAGTTGCCTCCTTACTTAATCAAGTTGTTACAGCTAAAATGGTAATTCCCTGGAAAAGTTTCCAAAAGTTAGTGAAAGTATGTGTTGTTTTAGTTTAGATAATGGGGATTTCTATGCGCATGTTTGATATGCCTGCATCAGAAATGTTTTCAGGCGAATATAATGGATCACAGTGCAAACACCAACTAACTGTCTATTTAAATCTTTATACTCTGACTCTATATCTCATATGTTTTCTTGATTTGGACAGTGTTTTGATTTCTAATTTAAGTCAATTTAAAATATAAAATGTAGTTTGACTGCGTATGAGTGTATGTATTTAATAATTAATCATCCAAATAGGCATGTTGTTTCATTTTTTTAATATGACTGCAATGCTGAACCTAAATTTGACGTCTTTTTTTTTGTTCTCAAAAAGTAAAAGTTATATGAAGCACTTTATCTGCATTTAATATACTTTCTGTGTAAAATAGCATGTAATTGAACAGTATGAATTAATATACAGTAATGCATTTGATCAGTTACACAATAAAATTTGTAGTATTAATTAAAAACAGAACTTTTTAATATTATTGTATTACTTGTATCTATCTAGATATGGGCCGCTAAAACATTCTGACAGTATGATAACCTTATAGATAAAATATCAGGGTTTCACGGTATTGTGATTACCGCTCTGATATATGCTCTTTTTAAGTGTCTAAGTAAAAAACAACAACTTTTTCCCCCTTTGAACACAATATACTTTATTTTAGGAAACATTTGTAGTATTTTGGAGCAGTAAACATGTCAGGCTGAATAATTCAAATGAATAATAGACTTCTGCTTTCTTCGTTTGTTTTAAAAACACTGACTTTATTACAATTTAAAATGACACCTTTAGATATATGTTCTGCTACTGTTGTCCTAGAAAACTAAAGATACTTAAAAAATGTAAATCAAAAATCTTACATATACCTTAGGAACGTTATAGCAGAAATTTTTGGCGGTTTTAAAACCTTGACTTTTCCAAGCTGCAGTATACCTTGAAGACGGTTATCGTCCCATCCCTACATGTATGATATGCCTTCATCAGAAATGTTTTCAGGGGAATATAATATCACAGTGCGTACACTCTTAATATCTCATATATTTTCCTGATTTGGACAATGTTTTTATTCATAATTTGATTTAGTTATATATATACATAAATTTCCCAGAGATGTGTTGCGGCTGGAAGGGGATCCGCTGCGTAAAAACTTGCTGGATAAGTTGGTGGTTCATTCCGCTGTGGCGACCCCGGATTAATAAAGGGACTAAGCAGACAAGAAAATGAATGAATGAATACATAAAATGTAGTTTGACTGCTCATGAGTGTATATATTTAATAACTAGCGGTCAAAATAGGCATGTTGTTTAGTTTTTGCAAATATGACTGCCATGCTGAACCTAAATTTCCCCTATTTTTTCATTTTTTTTCTCAAAAAGAAAAAGCTGTTTAAAAATATAAACCACTTTACCTGCATTTAATATGCTTTCTGTGTAAAATAACACACAATTTTACAGTACGAGTCAATGAATGGTAATAAATTTAATCAGTGACACATTAGAACTTGTAGTAATAATTAGAAATAGCACTTTTTAATATTATTGCAGTACTTGCTTCTTTCGATCACATTGTTAAACAATAAACACAGCGTGAATTTACACTTGACAGCTAGTAACATGCACTGTAAATGTCATTTAAATGATTAATCACCATTTTTAAATGGGTTAATAGTTGAACCCTTGCATAACGACCAATTCATTCCTCATCCGCACATTCTCCAGTCAAACCACAGGTGACTTTGTAACCCCGGCAAATGTGATGATGGGTTTAATGAATCGTGAACGCGGACAAATGTATCTCCGCCCCTCCAGCAGAGCAAAGGGGCTTGCATTAAAATGCTTGAGTGTAGAAACCATCGATGTGGTGCCAACTTTATATGCCCTCCGTAATGCCCTGGCTATTTTGGTGTCTCGAACAGATGTAGCGAATGAGACGTGCGTGCACCGAATACCGCAAATGAGCACACATGTATGCATGGATATGAATACGTATGCATTGGATGGATGCGATTAATGGGCTGGTGGCCAATTTTGGGGGTTGCCAGCCCCAGGATGATGCCTTTCTCAATCAGGGGCTCTTGAGATGGAAATGAGGGTGCGTTCCACAACCTGGCATGCAGCTGTTACATGGATGACCCAAATCGGGGACTGTGGCTTGGCTGTTCTCAGTCTGGGATGGCTGCATGTAATATGACCCACATGGTGATGGATATATGGCTCGGTGGTGATATGATAAAAATATGACATCACGATATAAGTCATGCCATATACTGATAATGATAAATATTAGAGCTGCACGATATTGGAAAAATATGACATTTTGTTTTTCTGCAGTATGTATTGCGATATGAATACAATTTCACCAGACGACTTAAATAGCTCTATCTGAAAATAGTTTAGAATCTTAGATAGATTCTGTAGTTGAGTGCATCTGCATAAAATATAATAAACAATCTAAAAGTGAAAAAATGCGATAAATAAAACAAAACAAAAAAAACAAATTAAATAAAACGTGTTTTGCTGATTTCCGAGGAGTGTAACAGTATTCAGATACACTGTAAAACCCAATAAGTTAAGGCAACTCAAACCGTTCGAGGACACTGATTGCAACATACCATTAAAGTTCAAAAACTAATCCTAATGAGTTCTGTAAACTTAATCCATTTGAGTAAACCAGGGGTTCCCAATCTTTTCCACCTACGACCCCCAAAATGACAATGCCAGTGATTTGCGACTACCAATATTCTCTGAGGTGGTTACAAATACAGAAACCTTGCATGCAATGGCGCACACACACCAATAGACCCAAGTCTATTCTTTGTATAATTGTTTTAACATATGTGAGTGCTGTAAATTCATAAGGTCATCGAATAATCAAATGTATAAATAATTCTGCATGGTCTTCATTTTATAAATAACTCAATACAATTAATAGTTATTAAATTTAAAAACGGTACAATTTCTCAATGCTTTTAAAATTGTCATACAATCACAGGACATAAAAACCTATGCAAATGATAAATTATAATCTCTCAACGTTGCATTTATAGGCGATGTGACTATCACGATTGATATCAAAGCTAAAAACGATTTATTGTGCAGGCTTAATATATATCATGATATAGTATATATTTTTGCAAATTCAATCAAGCACATGGAAAGGAAGGATTAAAGGATTAAAAATATGTACTTAAGAATTTTCTTGTTCATATGTGATTTATTTTTTTCACTTTATGTCCTTTAAGTTCGAGGCAAATGTTTGATTATGAATGTTAAAAATATGATGCATGTTAGTAATATATAAAACACTTTTCAAAATTGAATAAATACAGGCAAAACACCAAATATTGAGTAATAATAATGCAAAAGTAAATATGTAAACAATGAAAACAGGTTCAAAGGCACTCAAAGTAAAAAAAAAAATGTTTTTTTTTTTGCACTTTTTAAGTGCCTTGTATTTAAAACTTCATTGTTTATCTTTACAAATATTGTACTTTCCTTCAAAGGAGCACAAAAATGTTTTATTGTGAGAGTTTTATTTTTATTAAATTAATTTTTTTTAAATTACCTCATTTCTCATTAAAACTGCACATTTATTTTTTAACTTTTTGTGTGCTTTGTACTTATGTACTTATGGTTTTCTTGTTTATCTTTATAAATAGCGCACTTTCCAGCTTGCGACTGTTTTGCCATGCTGTTACAAGCTGGGTTTTTATCATAGCGTAATCTTTTCAAAGTTCAGATATAATCCCAAATGCTAATTAGGTGCGTTTCCATCAAATGTTTAGAGTGGCTCTCTGTAGTATTGGTAGCCTAGCAACCAACCGTAAACAAGCCAATTTAATAGTCACGTGGGTTGAATGTTATGCATGTCAGAATTTATTCAGATGCACTTACATCTTCCATTATTCACATGAACTTTTTTAAAAGTCCAAAACCACTTCAAAGGAATGCAAAAACATTGTTCTGCGTTAAGAGATTTTATTTTAAAGTTTGTAATTTCCGTACCTTCCATATGTTTTCACTTTTAGTGTGCTTTGTACTTACGATTTCGTTGTTTATCTTTATAATTATTGTACTTTCCATCTTGTGACTTTTTTCGCCATGCTTTTACTAGCTGGGTTTCTATCATAACTTGATGGTAATCTTTTCAAAGTTCGGATATAATCCGTTTCCATCCAATTTTTAGAGTGGCTATCTATAGTATTGGTAGCCT